TATTTACTATTTATTGTAGAGAAAAAATCTACAATTGTAGAAATTTGTTCTACAAATTTTTGTCCGTGTAGTGACAATAATGCCTATTTAACCGACATGCATTTCGTTTATGACCTTGCGGATGGCAATGCGCGCGAAGCGAGACGTATTTACCAGGAGCGATTTCCTAATCGAGTACTGCCTTCAGCTCCAACATTTTCCAGTCTCCACCGTCATTTGGCCGAAATAGGTAGCTTTAAGAGAGCAGCTGATATTGTTGGAAGACCACGTGCAGTCCGAACCCCAGAATTGGAAGAAGCTGTTTTGAACGCTGTCGAGGAGAATCCAGAAACAAGTACAAGAATAATTGCTGAAGCCTCTCAATTCTACTCAGTCCACAGTTTGGAGAATTATCTACGATCAACAATTGTATCCATACCATATTCAAAGGGTGCAAGCTCTTTTGCCACGACATTTTCCTCAACGCATTAATATGTGTCAGTGGTTTTTGAGGAAATTGGCTGAAAATCCTCAATTTTTAAGATATGTACTTTTCACATACGAGGCAAATTTCTCCAAAAATACTATCACAAACTTTCATAACACCATGTGTGGGCTCTAGAAAATCCGCACGCAATTAGTGAAAGGCATTCTCAGTATCAATTTTCTGTAAAGGTATGGGCGGGAATAATTGATGATTATTTGATAGGCCCTTTCTTTCTTCCGCTCCGACTGGATGGAGAAACTTACAGACACTTTCTAGAAAACGAATTGCCGGGATTACTTCAGAATGTACCTTTAGAAAATCGTATCCGCATGTGCTTTATGCATGATGTTGCTCCGGCCCATTTCAGCGTTGTAGCCAGGGAATTCCTTAACACTGTCTATCTAAATCGATGGATCGGTAGGGGTGTAGAAGAACCTAACTAGGCGTAGGCACCAAGGTCCCCAGATCTAAACCCGTTAGATTTTTATTTTTGGGGACATATGAAGTCATTAGTTTATAAAACTCCAGTAGCAAACGAGGAAGAACTAAGAAACCGAATAATAGACGCCTGTGAAAGAATAAGAAACCAATAATTTTTGAGCGAGTACGAGATTCAATGACTAATAGATTGAATGCCTGTATCTTCGCTGAAGGAGGACACTTTCAACAATTTAAATAAAAATTCCAAAAACGACTTAGTGCATTAAAATTACGGAAAAAATTGTATTCCGTTTTTTATTAAACTTTGAAAATATACGTACTATCAAAGTTGCAGCAGCTGATCTATTTGTTGACTTAAAAATTGATATAACTTTTAAACTATTGGAGATACGACATTTGTGTAGGCAATGAAATTATCTCTCAGATAAGTTATTTGTCAATTCCATACCTATTGTCAATTTGTTGTTTTTTATATTTGTTTATAAAAATTGATTTTTTTTAAGTTTAATAAAAAATGGAATAAATTTTTTTCCGTAATTTTAATGCACTAAGTCGTTTTTGGAATTTATATTTCTTTCAGGAAAAAAATAAACCAAAGTTGGGAATTTATTTATAACAAATTGTTAACTTAATAAACAATGGAATTATTAATAAAAAAAATTTTTTTGCTGTCAAAAACACATTTCTTAACTAATAATTTAAACAATAGATATATTAAAAAACGATTATAAACAATTAAAAGTTATTATTAAGAAATTTTTTTTTTTTAATCATAATTGGCAAATGTATAGAAAGTTGTAAAAAAAAAAATTTAAAAAAAATTGAAATAGTCCATTTGTTTATAAAAAATTTATAAAGAAATGGAGGAAAAAATTTTTTTTTAATTAATAAATGTCTTTTCTCGACATTAAAACAGTAGTATTATAATAAATTGAAAAAAAAATTTTTATAGCACCACTGTGACTTTTCTGTTTTTGTAAACTTTAAAAAATTATTATAAACAAAGTATTAACATTTTTTAAACTTTTATGAGGCTATTTTGTTTTATATGTACATAAAAAGAGCTCCACGAAGCAAAAAAAAATTACGGTAATTATTTAATATTTTTATCAATTTGTAATGAGAGAAATTCTAAAAATTTTGTTAATTAACAATAACCTACTTTGTTGGAAAATTAATTTTTATGAAAAATTCTAACGGGAATAAATTCTTCTAAGTGTTTAGAATACACAGTAATTTATTTAAATTTTTGAATTATATGTAACGTACTCGGTTTCGACGCCGTGCGCGCAACCTAAAAATGGCGCGCGGAAGGCTACTTTGAGCGTTAAATTAAAATTATAAATAATGGAGGTACAGTTCCGGGAGTCGGAACTTATTTATAGCAAATTTTCTCCTCTTTAAGAATCTTTTTTGAAAAATCCAAAAATATTTATAGTTTACAAACTATAGGCGAAAAACCAAACACCATGTTTTTAAGGTGTTTAATTGTTTATAACTTTTGCAATTTTTTATGCACTGCAAAATTTTTCTTCACACATTGATCTAGATATTATTTCGAATCAAATGAGCTATTGAACATAATTTTCGTAATAGTATGTCCCAAAAACACGCTTTTGAACTTGTTGATTAGACTATATCGATTCTACACAAAAATCACCACTAAATAAAAAAGGAAAAACTTCACAAGTAGATAACTTTCGTCCAATTTCCATAATAGGTATCTATTTTTAGCAAAATAATAGAAAAGTTGATAAAGGAACGTTTGTATAACTACTTTGAAAAATATAATTTTTTTACGAATTCCCAATATGACTTCCGTAAAGGACGTTCAACTTCTCACGCTATTCTATAAGTTCTGAATGGCATAGTCGAGGTCTTTGAAGGTGCCAAACATACACCTATTAAACTGTGTGGCCGCTCGAAAGCTTTCGACTGTGTTTCTCACATTCTATTGGAAAAGCTATGGTATTTCGGTGTTAGAGGGACGTCATTATCAATAATTGAATCCTATTAAAAAAATCGATATGTCTGTAGTCTGTTTCTAAGTCTGTTTGCCACAAAATGTTCACTCATTTTGTGGCAAACAGACTTAGTCCAAGGCCATTCTCTCTCTCACACTCACACACACTCACAGTCTGTAGTCTACAATAATTCCAAGTCTGGCCTTAATTTAATTATACATGGTGTTCCTCAAGGTTCTGCTCTTGGCCCTCTGTTATTCATCATTTATATTAATTATTTACCTAGTTTTATACAACCTTATAATTCTGTATTGTTTGCAGATGATACTTCTTACATCTACTCTGATAAAAATGTCTCAAATCTTATGGCAATTTCTGACGACATAGATTCTAAATCGAAATTGTGCTTTATGGCCAACAAACTTAAATTAAATGAGAACAAAACACAAAGTCTTTACTTTTCTAATACCATTCCTAGAGTCAGTTCAGATAGTGTTAAAGTACTTGGTACTACTTTTTTTGCACTATTTTTATCTCGGTTTGAAGAAAAATGCGCCCGTTTTAGCATTTTTAATTTTTAAATCACTATTCACTTTAAAATTTAATTTAGTCCGTTGCTGACAAGCACGAAAAACGGAATGATATACAGGTTTGGTATTCGCTCCGTGCGCGACAGCAGCGCCAAGTCGTTTTGATACTAATGGACTATTTCTGCGTACACTGACAAATGCAACTTTTAATAAAATTCGTAATATATGGTAGTTTTAATAAAAGTATATGGATTTGTAAAAGAAGTAAAACATTAATTTATTATTATTATACAGGGTGGGTCATGAGGAACCTTACAGACTTCTACCATATGTAGAGTCCCTTAAGGGGTATATCATATGAGCATTAAAAAGTGGCAACTCCCCTTCGTTATTAATAGTGAATTTTGACAAAACTTTATATGGCCGTAAAATCTACAAGGATTAATAGATTTCTTTAATTTTTTGGTGGAGCATTACACTGGTATTTAGCATTTAATTCATATCATCAAAAGTTAAAAATTCCAGGATTGGCTTAGGAAAAATTAATCTCGACGATTCATATCAAAAAGTTCGCCCTGTATAAGATTTTTTAAAATTATAATAAGATATTTTTGTATGAGAAGTTGCCTAAGTCTAATAAGTTTTCATTGAAGAATTACTCTAATCTGTCAAAATAAAATAATACCATTTAATAATAGCGTGAAGTTAAAATGTATAAAAGAAGGATCATTACTTATATTTTCATTTTTGTTTGAAAGAAAACATAGAATAAATGATTAAAACTGATTTCCCATCAGTAAGTTACAAAATTGCGTTCCAACCACATATAATAATCAAAGGCAGAAATCTTAAATTCTAGTCCTTGCTGAATGAACAATTAAGAATAAGGGATATTAAAGAACATGGTAAAATGATAATTTATTGTTGATTTAAAACCTTTCAAGTTTCTGATGTCTACTATTTGCAGCATTACGGTTATTATTACAAAAATAAAGGTAATTTTTCTTCTTATTGTATATCTATCCATTTATTTCTTTGATTTAATTTCCACTTTGCTACTGAAATTTTTTATATAAGTTTCACTGTTTTTTTTGCTAGTATTTGTTCAATTTTCAACACAGCACCGGTTGCTTATTGTATTGTTTTTACCTACTTTTTTGAAAAAAAGTAAAATGTATACGTGTATTTGATATGCCAAAATTACAAAATATCGCCCTAAAATGCACGAATTATCCGCAGCTAGCGCTAGTATCGCTTTTGCTTCCCTTTCCATGACTTCGCACGGAGCGAATACGATTAGGAGCAGTGAATATCATTTTGTATACTCTAGAAAATATACGTGCTGATGAGTATGTTTCAAGGAAACTACAATGTAATTATATCTACGGACAAGCGAAGGAAAATCCATCTATTAGTTGTTCGTTGTTGGTCAGAACCAAAAAAATGGTGACGAAGATAATATGAATAGCTGAATTAGCAGAAAATACAGAACACCTAAAAATATGAATTGCAAAAATACTATAAACAAAAATCAAATTATATATTTTTAGTTTTTTTTTTTTTAATTCGCTTTTACTTATATGTGTTTGTTTGTTACAGAAAATTCTCGACCGCTGTGGTAAATGGGGGTTTAATGCCTTTACTCTGGAAACGGTTGCGGGTGGGAGATCACTGCCCGTTTTATGTGTTCATCTATTCCACTGGTATGGATTATTAGACTACTTCCATTTAGATGTGGTGCGGGTCTGGAAACTCTTTAGTAAGTATACCTAATTTTATCTAAAAAAATAAGGCAATAAAATGCTGGAATTCTAGTTAGAAATATTTAGTTTAAGTTATTTATTTACCTTTCCTTAGTCTTAATGTTTGATGACATATAGGATAACAAATAAATAATTTTATTTAAAAATAAATAAACGTTATCTTCGTAAATGTGCTATAGCATAAAATTGTATTGAAACACTTATTTTTAATGACAAAAACGCACTACGCGTTATTACCTTTTTCAATCAAGGTTTTTATTCGATGAATAATATTATTAATCATTTTTTCATGCGCCACGAAGAGGATAACAATGGCATTAAATTGAAATGCATACAATCGCATTGATCTATTAAATATAATTGTTGTTTGTAAATGGAAAATCTCAATAAGTGAATCACATGAATATGGAGGTACCCGGTTTTTTATCGCGTAATTTGTCACTAATTCGTATTTAAAAATTGCGCACCGTATGACCTAGTTTTAATTAATTATCTATATCAACAGTTATATACAGGATGTTCGTTTCTAACCATTCTTTAATTGGAATAAAAATAAGTGTGTCATCGACTTAAATTAAACGTTAGGCACTGCACTTCCTTAATCGTCAATGAAAAAGTAATTGGTACCTTAACGTGCCATATACATATATCATATTTTGTTTGTGTATAAATTTTGATTATGATCATATTCCTTAAATAAATTTTATCACTGAATTATCTATCAAGTACGAGATTTTTAAATTTTTGAAGCAGCTGTTGGCATTTATATAGAAAAATATTTACTTAGATTTAGTTTACATAGTTTTTCTTTTATTATGTGCCAACCTTACCCTAAGATTGAAAGGAAACGTCAGGTCGATGATTTTTTAATGATAAGCTATAATATTAAATTTCCTATTAAATGAAATTTTTAGTTTTCGCAAAAAAATAAAAGTGGCATTTTTTACTCTAATTCGGAAATGGTACATTTTCAACTACTGTAATGTTCCCCAAAATAGTCAACTTTTTCCATTTAATCGTTGTTACGCGTTAGATTATAGCACATAATAAAAATAATATCATTGACAGGAAAAACTTTATATATGTTTTACTCTCTGCTTTCTTCACACTGAATTACTCTGCTGATCTTCTGGTTTTCTCCTCTACTTTCTCTGTAACTATTTCATTATTATATTTTATATATTTTAATGATTCCATCCTGGACAAGGTAAAATCCGGTATTCTCGGATTAAATTTTGAATACACGTTTGACATTAACCTTCAACTTCATTAGGCAACTTTTCATACCATTTCTCGTAAATACTGTTGCCTAGTTACCTGTTCTGTGCACATGTTTTAATAACTTTTTTTATCAAATAATGTACTTATTTTTCTTTAGCTAAAGTCATAAAAATCTATAATAATAATAATAATAAATAATTCTTTTCATTTGTTTTATAAATCAATATACTTTTAGTAAAAGCAAAAAATACATTTTTACTTTCCTATCTGTATACAGATATAAGGAAAGTATATGAATCATGATTTTTTTCGACCTCCAGATTTCGACGGATTTTTACGTTTTGGGGTCCCCTGAATCCGTTTTGACTATTTTCGGGATGGTGTCTGTGTCTGTCTGTGTGTCTGTCTGTGTGTGTGTGTGGGTGTGGGTGTGGGTGTGGGTGTGGGTGTGGGGTGTGTGTGTGTGTGTGTGTTTGTGCGCGCGCGCGTGTGTGTGTGTGTGTGTCTGTGTCTGTATCCACCATAACTCATGAAAATACCAAATTTTAAACTTAAGCTTTATTCCGGCCTGCGGTGAACTGATTAGATTTTGGGCAGAGTCGGAACATGTGGGAGGGTACTTTATAGGGGGTCATTTTTATATTTTATGAAATATATCTGTTATTTACATTTGAAGAAGAAAATTCTTCAAATAAAAGTTACTTCTTATATTATTTTATATAATTTTTGTTGTATACAAAATTTTCCTAAAATGGTCCATATTCGAGAAATTTAACAAAATTTAAAAAAATCAAAAAATTGTTCAAATAAAAGTTGTTTGTAATATAATTTTCTATACATAATTTCTCTAAAATGGACCGCATTCGAGATATTTGAGAAAATGTGTAAATTTCGAATTTTGAAGAAAACTCAAAAATTAAATTTAAAACATAAGTTTTATTTCGGCCTGACGTAGAATGATTAGAATTTGGACAAAGTCGGAACATCTGGGGGGTACTTTATGGGAGGCATTTTTTATATTTTATGGAATATATCTGCTATTTATGTTTGGAGAAGAAAATTGTTCAAATAAAAGTTACTTCTAATATTATTATCTATAATTTTTTTTATGTCAAAATTTCCTGAAATGGTCCGTATTCGAGAAATTTGAGAAAATCTGCAAAATTTTTATTTTTAAGAAAATTGTTGAACTAAAAGTTGTTTGCAATTGTTTATACATGATTTTTCTAAAATGGACCGTAATGGAAAAATTGTAGGTAGATGTATGTGGAAAATGTATATATTTAGTTTATTCCCTAAACATTTATAAAGGTGCTGCAATAGGTTTTACAAAATAACCGGAAAACGCCTATAATACTAGATAAGAAAGTCATGTGTTGGACACATCAGATTTTTTATTTAGGATTTCTATTAAAAATGATTCTGTCAATACACGAAAAATCCCCCTTTAATACATATTTGAGTTGGCGCTGTCGTCACGCACGGAGCGAATAGTCGTTGTCATATGGTTGTCATCATACTCTTTTTAAATATAATTTCTTGGTACGCTTAAATATCGATAATATTTTGGAAATTCCAACTCGTGCGTGTCCCAATTGTCGATAATAGTCCACTACTTATATTTTTATGAAATCGATAGATTAACATGTAAAAGTTGTCAGCTTATCATTTAGATACCTACTTTAGATATGTTAAATAATAAAATTTTCTTCACTTCAAAAATAACATCATGTTATTTCAAATGGCCGCTTCGTTTGCTGATATACAAGTGCTATGAGCTTCCTCAAGTTGTGACGCACAATAAATGAGCGTATACCGAAGTCAATGCACTATTTAAAATTATGGTGGAGGAACACATTTTATATGGGTCGTCCTAGAATAAATTACATGACTTTCCTATCTAGTTATTACAGGCCTTTTTTGGTTATTTTGTACAACTTATTGTAGCACCTCTGTAAATATTTAGAGGTTAACTTAATATATACATTTTCCACATACATCTAACTCGAAACATTTTTCTATATACACTCATTGCTAACGAAAATCCCGAAAAATTTAAATTTTATACTTTTCCTCCAATTTTTCCATTACGGTCCATTTTAGAGAAATCATGTAAAAAACAAAAATTATAGCGATCGATATCGCAAACATCTTTTAGTTCAACAATTTTCTTAAAAATCAGAATTTTTACATTTTTTTGAAAAATTTCTCGAATACGGATAGTAATTTTAGAAAAATTTTGTATGAAAAAAAATTATAGACAATATCATATAAGAAGTAACTTTTATTTAAAGAATTTTCTTCTCCAAACGTAAATAACAGATTTATTTCATAAAATATAAAAATGACCTCTATAAAGTACCCCCCCCCCCCCAGATGTTCCGACTCTGCCCAAAATCTAATCATTTTACCTCAGGTCGGAATAAAGCATAAGTTTAAAATTTAAGGTTGTTTTTTTATGCGTATTTAAGTTTTCTTAAAAATTCAAAATTTACACTTTTTAACAAATATCTCGAATACGGTCCATTTTAGAGAAAATATGTATAGAACAAGAATTATAGAGAATTATATCACAAACAAGTTTTATTTAACAATTTTATATTATGTAAAATTTCTCTAATACAGACCAAATAGTAGTAAATAGTAGTAAATAGTAATAAATAGTAGTAAATAGTAGTAAATAGTAGTAAATAGTAGTAAATAGTAGTAAATAGTAGTAAATAGTAGTAAATAGTAGTAAATAGTAGTAAATAGTAGTAAATAGTAGTAAATAGTAGTAAATAGTAGTAAATAGTAGTAAATAGTAGTAAATAGTAGTAAATAGTAGTAAATAGTAGTAAATAGTAGTAAATAGTAGTAAATAGTAGTAAATAGTAGTAAATAGTAGTAAATAGTAGTAAATAGTAGTAAATAGTAGTAAATAGTAGTAAATAGTAGTAAATAGTAGTAAATAGTAGTAAATAGTAGTAAATAGTAGTAAATAGTAGTAAATAGTAGTAAATAGTAGTAAATAGTAGTAAATAGTAGTAAATAGTAGTAAATAGTAGTAAATAGTAGTAAATAGTAGTAAATAGTAGTAAATAGTAGTAAATAGTAGTAAATAGTAGTAAATAGTAGTAAATAGTAGTAAATAGTAGTAAATAGTAGTAAATAGTAGTAAATAGTAGTAAATAGTAGTAAATAGTAGTAAATAGTAGTAAATAGTAGTAAATAGTAGTAAATAGTAGTAAATAGTAGTAAATAGTAGTAAATAGTAGTAAATAGTAGTAAATAGTAGTAAATAGTAGTAAATAGTAGTAAATAGTAGTAAATAGTAGTAAATAGTAGTAAATAGTAGTAAATAGTAGTAAATAGTAGTAAATAGTAGTAAATAGTAGTAAATAGTAGTAAATAGTAGTAAATAGTAGTAAATAGTAGTAAATAGTAGTAAATAGTAGTAAATAGTAGTAAATAGTAGTAAATAGTAGTAAATAGTAGTAAATAGTAGTAAATAGTAGTAAATAGTAGTAAATAGTAGTAAATAGTAGTAAATAGTAGTAAATAGTAGTAAATAGTAGTAAATAGTAGTAAATAGTAGTAAATAGTAGTAAATAGTAGTAAATAGTAGTAAATAGTAGTAAATAGTAGTAAATAGTAGTAAATAGTAGTAAATAGTAGTAAATAGTAGTAAATAGTAGTAAATAGTAGTAAATAGTAGTAAATAGTAGTAAATAGTAGTAAATAGTAGTAAATAGTAGTAAATAGTAGTAAATAGTAGTAAATAGTAGTAAATGGT